TTGTGATAAGAGCATACTTTTCAATATTTGAAATATCAAGTGAAAATATTTTGTTTTGCATCATGCAAACATTTACGGTAATCAAACTAGATTTTTTATCTTTAATAGTGCATGAACTATTATCAAATATAACTGAATATCCATCATCTATCAATTGTCTAACACTTAACATGATAAAGTAAGAACGAAGAAAATATTATCAATGTATTTTACCTTCTCTTAATTTATCTTCACCTCAATTGTTCATTTTCCTTCCACTTGGATTTACTTGTTATCTCTAAGTTTAACTTTCAACTTATGAGTTTCATCAATATCTTTAAACATTGATCTTATGCCTGACATATGATTAGAATATCCACTATCCATAAACCAAATATCATTTGATATATCATTAATTTGTGAATGAGTCATAAACAACTTATTGTTTTCTTCATTTTCCTCCACATAGCTTACTTGCTTTTCTCTTTTTCAGCAATCTGGCTTCATGTGACTAAACTTTTTATAATAGTTACATTGAATTCCACTCTTGTAATCTTTTTTATCATAATTTGATTGCCTTTGTTCATCATGCCCATCAAAGTGTCCTCTTCCTCTTCCTCTTTCATTTTCTCTACCACGAAATCCTCCTCTGCCACGTTCTCTTCCTGTTGATTTTTTATCTTCTTTTGAAGTAGAAGACTCCCCCTTAATCTAAAATATTTTTTCTTCATATTTTTCAAGTGACCTATTTAACCTTGCTTCATGTGCTTGCAAGGAACCCATTAATTTATCAAATGAAAATATAGATAAATATTTTGACTCCTCAATTACAGCAACAACATGATCAAATTTCGAAGTTAAACTTTTCAAAACTTTTACAATAATTATATGATCAGGTAGATATTCACTATAAGATTTCATTTGACTAACATTTTTAATCACTCGAGAAAGAAAATCTTGCACCAATTCATTACTTTTCATCAATAAAATTTCAAACTCACTACGAAGGGTTTAAAGTTTTACCGTAATTACCCTTGATAAGCCTTGAAATTATTTTGAAGTATCAACTAAGCTTGCTTTGAGGTTGTCGCTGCTATAATTCTTGAGAAGATTGTCTCATGTACAATTTATTGAATGAAGAACAATGCCTTTGAGTCCTTTCTATTCTCCCTCAACTTGATTTCTTCATTTGGATCTACATATTCATTCTCTATTAAGTCCCAAAGATCTTAAGACTTGAATAGAGTCTTCATCTTGATACTCTAAAATTTATAGTATTTGCTCGAGAAGATGAGAATAAGGGGTTGAGAGAATTACCATTGAGAGCCATAATGCTCAGTTCAAATTGAAACTTAGCTCTGATACCACAAATGTTGAGGATGGAGGAGCAAGGAAACGATAAAAATAATGCTATGATACAATTAAAAAGAATCATTTCGATCAAGAAAACCATTGTAGTATTTAAATAAGATGTAAGACAAGAATATATTCCCAAGTGCATACACTCTATTTTGATTCATGAACTGTGATCATATTTATAAAACCTAGTGGTAACTACATATGTCACCCATGATTGAGTTAGGTATAGGAACTACCTTATAACTTTTAGATCATAGGCCACTTCTTAACACATGCCTATAACTACCCAAAACAGGATAACTACCTACAACATGATAACTACTTAGATAACTACTATGAATCAATTCTCAATATAAGCTAAAATCATTTTGAATTAACTTGCATACACATAATTCTTTTAAGCAAATAGATATGATCTCAACATGTCTTTTCTCTTCGACATGTATAAATAAATCTTATTCCATTTATTCAATTTATGAAAAAAATACATTTTATATATGTGTTTATTTGATATAGATCAAATAGAGAGTACAAAGGGATTTAAAGTTTACTACTCTTGCAATTCGAGTGCTACTATCACAACAACAAAAGGATCATTGTATCTTTCGAAGATATTGTCGCTAAATCGTATGTATCAGTATAGAATAAATTCATCAAAAAGTTCGACTCTTATCTGTACCAAATCGTTTGCTGTATCGATGCGTCCCGACGGCGATATGCTTGCCTTCGAACGTGATAGGGAATCCCCCCCGTCGTCTTCCCCTATCACTATAAAGTGCTCACGACTCCCGTCGTCTTCCCCTCATCCTAACATTGCCTTCGAGATGAGTTACTACCCCCAGCAGCAGCAGGCTCCTCCTCAAGGTATGTATTCTCCTCTTTCCGTTGCATAGATAGATTATGGTTGGATTGATTTCAGCCTTATGCCTACAATGAACACGCGGCATACCCCCCTACAGAGCAGGTCCATCCGCCGACTAATGACGCACTTCCGCCGGCGGGCTATCCGAGCAGGGACGGTGCTGTGAATTCACAACAAGCTCCCGTCGAGACCAAGAGCCGTGGCGGTAGCTTCTGGAGAGGATGGTGAGAAGAGAAGCTCTTTCCTCGAGCTCACAGTAACTTGTGTTGTTTGGTTTCAGCTGATTTGAGTCGTGCTCTTTTGGGTGTTGCAGCTTCGCGGGCTGGTGTTGCTGCTGCTGTCTGGACATGTGCTGCTGAGGAAAGTAGACGGAGATCTATATTATTATTGTATGATGATGGAATTGCTGTTATTGCCAATTATATGTTGCATGAGACATTGTTTATTTGATTTATTGGTTGTGGGATTAGTCCTGTCCTTTGACTAACGAATAAGATGTAACATGTTGTTGGCCTCACAGTATCCTCGAGTGGGGTCAACATCATCATCATTCCAAGAAATTGTAGTGGATTATTGAACTCCCCCTTTAAGTGTTTGCTGGATTTGAGAGAGAGAATATTCTGGCAGGCATTTCGTCGAACGAGTTTCCGGCGTCTGAAGCGGACAAACCCCACGCGTCTCCTTCCAACGAGTGGCAGGCTCAGCTTCGATGGCACTAAGCCAGCGTCGAGATGGCATTGGGGACGGATTGGGATTTGGATCCACCTGTGAACAATAAACCATATCGGAATCATTTGCCAGATAGTTTCACTTGTTGGGGTCAGATTTGGATTGATTTATTTAGTCATTGAATCCAAATCTGATTTATTGAAAAAAAAAGAAAGTGGAGAAGCTGTGACGAATGTAAGAAAAAGAACAATGAGAGAAAGCGAATGTTTTGAGGTTTTTATTAGATGATTAAATGATTAAATTTTATCGTTTTTGACTTAAATTTTATGTGAAGAATTTTTGTAATAAATTCTATAATTTTAACAGTACAAATCTATAGTTTATCCTTTCTGAAAAGTATTTCTGCTATACTCACTTGGTGAGACATAAAATTTTCAAATCCATTTATGGTAATGATGATTTAGTGCGCCAAGATATATGTTCTTGATGTTATTGTGATCCTCTAGTTATTCTGGAGAAGACTTATTGTAAATATATTATTATTATTAGTGATAGTAGAAGTTTGAAATGGACTATGGTTCCATGATTTTTTCTATATTGAGTTTTTCACGTAAAAATTCGGTGTATTACTATGTGATTAATTCATTGTTCTATTATTTATACTGCTCTGGTTAATATTTTCTTTTGGTAACAAGTTGATGTTTTGATGAGAAACTCATTTTGATACACAAAGAGAGAAAAAAATTATTCCACTATAACAGTTTGTCCCAATAAGTAGTATCAAAGCATCAGGTTTTTTTGTGCTAGTTTTTTTTTTGTGATTAAAATGGAAGAGTTAGACGGTATGATTAAATTGAACTCATCAAATTATTCTACTTAGAGGCATATGATGAAAGATTTGTTCGATTGCAAAGATTTGTATAAGCCCATCAAAGGTAAAGAAAAATATTCTACTATAGAAGATGAGGAATAGGAGGTTTAACATAGAAAAACTATTGCTTATATTAGAAGATGAATGAATATAAATTTGTATGAGCATATTTATGATAAAACCAAAGTTGATATTGTTTGACAAATGTTAGAAAATCTTTTTGTGAAAAAGATAATTTGAAATAGAATTTCTCTTCTTAGAAGGCTTGTCTATTTAAAGTATAAAGATGATGATAATATTATTGAGCACATAAGCCTATTCTAGAGTCTTGCAAATAAGTTGGTTGCTATGAAAATGAATATAAATTATAAAATGCAAGGATTATTACTTCTCAACTCTTTATTGGAAAGTTGGGAAACATATATGATGATAATTTGTAATTGAACATGAGAAGGTGTTAGAGTTGGCCCCAAGAAATTTACCAAAGGGTAATTTGGCAACCAAATAAAGATAATAAAACAGAAAAATAAAAGAGATAAGAATACCATATTTATATGGTTCGATCAATTGACCTATATCCATAGACGAAGGAGGAGCAAAACACTACTATAAAAGGGATAATTATAAATGCCTTAGGAAAATATTCCTAGGCAATAAAATACCTAAAACTAATAAATAAGAAAAGCCTAAAGCAAACAATTAGGTTTTCTTGTGGTGTATCCGACTTCAAAGCCCAAGCCCTTATTTATAGTTGCAATAGGAGATAACAAGCTTGATTTTCCCGATGTGGGACTATGTGAGACTTACCAAACTAACAAATCTCTACCTTGGCATGTCCCAACATTGACAATTAACAAAACTTACTCCACCTTTTTTACAAAAGCTCTAACGGGCAATCACCAACAATGAACACCAACCAAGTCCAAGCACTGCTTGAACTTGTAAACCGGAAGAGTCTTCGTAAGCATATCAATTGGATTGTCCTTTGTATGAATTTTTTGAGCAAGGACCTTTCCCTTAGCAATGGTATCCGGAATAAAATGAAACTTCACATCGATGTGTTTCGTCCTCTCATGATACATCTGGTCTTTAGTGAAATGAATAGCACTTTGACTATCACAGTAAATTATAGTAACACCTTGATACAGACATAATTCGTCGAACAAACCTCTTAACCATAAAATTTCTTTGATCGCCTCTATCACTGTCATATATTCTACTTCTGTAGTAGATAAAGACACGACAGGTTATAAAGAAGCTTTCCAACTAATTGCACAACTGCCAATGCAAAAAACATAGCCTGTTAAAGATCGTCGTTTATCAAGATCCGTAGCATAATCAGAGTCGGCGAAACCAACCAAAGTGTTACGATTTTTCTAAAAATCCAAATAAGCATCTGAAGTCCCTTGCAAGTATTTGGGAATCCACTTCACAACCTGGCAATGTGTTTTACCTGGGCGAGACATATATCTGCTAACCACACTGATTGCTTGTGAAATATCTGGATAAGTACAAACCATTGCATACATAATACTACCGTTAGCACTGGAATATGGAACTTGCACCATATATTCTTCCTCTTCAACTAACTATGGTGACTGAGCAATAGATAGCTGAAAATAGCTTGCAAGAGAAGTACTCACTAGCTTAGCGTTTTTCATGCCAAACCTCTCCAAGACTTTCTCGATGTAATTTTTCTAGGCCAGAAATAATTTTTCAACTCCCCATTCTGTCATCAGTAGCAAAGAAAATAATTCAAATATTCTCATTAGCTACTACACTAGCTTCAGCGGACTCAGTAGTTTTCTCAATAATTTTTTTCTTTTGCTTTAATTTATTTTTCAATTTAAAACAATCAACCTTAATGTGCCCCATTTTATGATAATATCTGCACTCTAAATTTCTATGTCTTGATTTAGATCTAAATTTAGATCTACTATTGTCAAATTCCCTTTTATCCGTTCTACTCTTGACAACCAGACCCTCAGCCTGAATCTCTCTACTTTCCTTAGTGATATCCCTGTCTATCTGCTCCTTAGATTTTAGTGCAGATTTAATTTCTTGATACGAAATTATTTTTTTTCATAAATCATAGTATTACGGAAATACTTAAAGGATTGGGGAAGAGAACACAAAAGTAACAGGGCCTTATCCTCATCATCAATTTTCATATTTATATTCTCCAAATCCATAACTAAGGAATCAAATTTATCAAAATGTGAGAGTATAGATGTACCTTCAGTCATCCGAAGCATATACAAACTCTGCTTCAAGTAGAGATGATTCTCCACTGTCCTCTTTATATACAAGGCTTTAAGCTTGTCCCCCATGCTCTTAGTCGTAGTCTCCGTAGCTACCTCCCGTAAAACCTCGTTAGAGAGATTTAGAATAATGCTTGATCGGGCCTTTTTATCCATACCCACAAGGTCTTCCTTTGACATATCATCTGGAATGTTTTCAGCTCCCTGTAGTGCTAAATCAACTCCGTCTTGAATCAGAATGGCCTTCATCTTGAGCTGCCACATGCCGAAGTTGACATTTCTATCGAATTTCTCGACAACGATCTTTGTTATTGTCATCATTACCAAAAGATCCTGAAACCAGGCTTTGATACTAGTTTATTAGAGCTGGCCCTAAGAAATTTATCAAAGGGTAATTTGGCAACACAATAAAGATAATAAAGCAGAAAAATAAAAGAGACAAGAACACTAGATTTATGTGGTTCGATCAATTGACCTACATCCACGGACGAAGGAGGAGCAAAACACTACTATAAAAGGGATAATTACAAATGCCTTAGGAAAATGTTCCTAAGCCATAAAATACCTGAAACTACTAAACAAGAAAAACCTAAAGTAAACAATTAGATTTTCTTATGATGCATCTGGCTTCAAAGCCTAGGCCCTTATTTATAATTGTAATAGGAGATAACAAGCTTGATTTTCTCGATGTGGGACTTGTCAAACTAACAAATGGAACTCTAACCATAAACATGGCTAAAGTTAATTTGCTAAATGAAGATGTCAGAATGAAAGAAAAAGGAGAATCTTCTTATGGTGCACTTATCATTAAAAAACAATATAGATGTGGAAGAAGTCACAATAGAAATTCATATGGTTATAAAGGGAGATCTAAGTCTAGAAAAGATATCAAATGTTTCCACTGCAATAGGCTAGGTCATATAAATAAAGAGTAGATTTTGGAGGCAAGAACAGAATGAAAGGAAGAAAAATGAAAAAGAGACCAATATAGTTACTGTTGAAGGTGATATTGTTATTGTTTGTGATGACGAATGTGTCAGCCTTGTAGCTTAGGACAGTAACGAGGTAATTGACTCTAGTACTTCATTTCATGTTACTTCTCATAGTGATTTTTTCATATCTTATGCTACTGGTGATTTTGACAATGTCAGAATGGGAAACAATGATATATATGAGATTGTGGGTATCGGAGATATTTGCTTGAAGACCAGTACTTAGAGTAAATTGATACTCATATATGTTAGACATATTATAAATATTCGTCTTAACTTAATATCTATAGGCATACTTGATGATGAGAGATTTATATACTATTTTGGTGAAAGCAAATAGAAACTCACTAAAAGTTCTCTAATTATGCCGAGAGGAAATAAATTAAACTCTTTCTATGTTATAGAAGCTAAACTATATAAAGGAGAGATTAATGCAATTCAAAAGGGTAAAAGTATAGATCTTTGATATAAGAGACTTGGTCATATCAACTAGAAAAGACTTCAAACTCTTGCTAGAAAGTAATTCTTACCAGAGTTGTAATGTACATCTTTTAAATCTTGTGATCATTGCTTAGTTGAAAAAACATATAGAGTTTCTTTCTATATATATCCATTATCTAAAAGATCAAATGTTATTGATTTGATTCACACTGATGTATGTACTATCCAAACAAGA